ATTCTCTCGGTATCTTTCGGATTCCTGAGGGTTCCCAAGGATTCCCGAGGAGTCTCGAGTCGCCCCGCCTTACGCCGCCGCCGCCTAGTCGTTCGGCCCCCGCTGCCTTTCCCGTGGGCGCGGGGTCCCCGGGGCCCCCGAGGGCGACGCTTCCAATGGAAACGCCTCGTGCCCTCGGTGGTTCGGGGGACCCCCGAACCCGCCCGAACCCGCGGGGAGGGAGAGCGCGGCCGAACGAGTCGCCCTGCCTTCCGCCGCCGCCGCCGAGTCGTTCGGTCTCCGCTTCCTGTCTTGAGGGCGCGGGATCCCCAAATTTCGGGGGCGACACTTCCCATTGACGCCGTTCGTGCCTTCGGAGGGTTGTGGGGCCCCCCAACCCATGGGGAGGGAAAGCGTTCGCCAGGGCGGTCCCGCGTATCGGAATTTACCAGCCCCAGCGGGCGCACCCCGTCGGTTCCAGGACCAGTCACCGCTGAACGGCGCGCTGGTTCCAGGGTCGGGGGGTTGCGCCCGCTCTCGATCATGTGCTCGGGCGCGCGGAGAAGGGGGGAGGAGGAGGCGGAGGAGGTGATGAGGAGGAGGAAGAAGAGGTGGGGGAGGGAGAGTACGAGGAGGAGGACGCGGAAAAGCAGACGGAGAGGAGGCAAACGAGGAGGAGGAGGAGGAGGAATAGTGGAGAAGCAGGAGGAAGAGGTGGAAGGGGAGGAGGAGGAGGAGGAGCAGGAGGAATACGAGGAATGCGGCACGAGGGAGAGGAGGATGAGGAGGGGGAAGAAGAGGAGGAGGGGGAGGAGAAGGAGGAGGGAAGAGGCATGACATGAGGAGGGACAACACGGCCGATGGCAACGAGGATAGTAAGTAGGTTTTTCGAGATGCGTTGTTGTGGGCACGTGTTGTGATTTTATGTTGTTGCGTTGGATGCTTGCTGTTGTCTTGAGGTGAAAGGTGTTGTTGTGAATTACTGCTGCTAAACAGCACAGCTCCCAGATCACAGACACTAAACTGGTACCAACTCCAATCGGGGCACCCATGTTGACTCCCGGAATGAATGTGCACCCTTCAGACGTTCATTTGATGTCTGGATGACTTTAAAATGCCAGACGAAGGTCATCCTATTGTAGGCCCGACCTGGCGGGTTGTAATTGGTACCGGTTGTTTTTTGTTGGCGTCGGTTGTAATATGTCCCACTCGGTTTGGGTCGGTACTACATGCGTTTTGAATTCCCCCCTCCAGTGGTGGTGTGGTGGTTGGTGGTGTTGGTGGTGGTTGTTGTTGGTGGTGGTCGGTTGTGGTGGTGGTGGAGGTGGTGTTGTGGTTTTTGGCGGTGGTGGTGGTGGTAGTTGTGGTTGTGGTGGCTTGAGGTGGTGGTGGTGGCTGTGGTGGTGATTGTGTTTGTCGTGGTGGTTCTGGTGTTCTGGTGGTGGTAGTGGTTGTGGTGGAGGCGGGTTGTGGTGATGGTGGCGGTGGTGTTGGTGGTGGTGGTGTTGGTGGTGTGGTGGTTTGTTGTGGTGTTGGTGGTGTGGTGGTTTGTTCTGGTGGCGGTGGTTGTGGTGGTGGTGGGTGGTAGTGGGGGTGGTGGTTTGGTTGTGGTGGTGGTCGTGGGTTGTGGTGGTGGTGCTGGTGCTGGTGCTTGTGGTGGTTGTGGTGTGGTGGTTTGAGATGAGGGTGGTGGTGGTGGTTGGTTATGGTGGTGGTGGTGGCGCTGGTGGTGGTTGTGGTGTGGTAGTTTGTGGTGGTGGTGGTGGTAGCTTGTGGTGGTGGTGGAGGTAATGATTGTGGTGTGATGTGGTGTGATGTGTTGTGGTGGTGGTGGTTGTGTTGTGGTTTGTGGTGGTGGTCGTGGTTTGGTGGTGTGTGGTGGTGGTGGTGGTGGTGGTGGTGGTGGTGGTGGTGGTGGTGGGTTGTTGTGTTGGTAGTGGCGGTGTTGGTTGTGCGGTGGTGGTGGTGGAGAGGTGGATTGTGATGGTGATGGTGATAGTGGTGCTGGTGGTGGTGGTGGTGGTGGTGTGCTGGTGTGCTTGTGGTTTGGTGGTTGTTGGTGGTGGTGGTTGTGTGGTGGTTTGTGGTGGTGGCGGGTTGTGGTGGTGATGGTGGTGGTAATGGTGGTGGCGGTTGTGTGGTGGTTTGTGGTGGTGGTGGGTTTTGGTGGTGATGGTGGTGGGCTGTGGTGTTGGTGGTGCTGGTGGTGGTGGTGATGCTGGTGGTGGTGGATGTGGTGTGTAGTGGTTGTTGTGGTGGCGGTGCTGGTTGTGATGGTGGTGTGGTGGTTTGTGATGGTTTGTGGTGGTGGTGGTGGTGGGTTGTGGTGGTGGTGGTGGCGGTGGTGGTGGCGGAGGTGGTGTGGTGGTTTGTAGTGGTGGTGGTGTGGCCTTCGGGTCTTCCCGCACCGTGCTTTGGCTTTGCGTCAGACTTCTAGTGGATGCCTCTTGGGCTCTCGTCAGAGGGGTCTGGGGGGCGTCTGAAGAGCATTTGTGAAGCCTCCTGGGCGCCTCTTGAGCGCCGTTGACACGTTCCTACGGGCCTCCCAGTGGCTTTTCGGGGGCGAGGGCTCGATATCGCGGCTTCTGTTTCCCATATACGGCCGCTTGGCCCTCTGTGGTCATCGTCCTTGCGTTCCCGCCGTCAGCGCTGCCGGCCGACGCCAGCGCCGGCGCAGGCGCTGGCGCCGGGGGGGAGAGGGGGTCGAACCCCCCCCCCCCGGGGGGGGGGTTCGGGGAAGGGGGGGGTTAAGGGGGAGGGAGGTCCCCCTGGTTCTGATCGACGACGCCGAATGTGTGGGGGGGGCAACCCCCTTCTCGAACCGCGCCGCCGAATGTTTCCAAGGCAAGTGCCTGTGAAACGCGCTCTCTCAGAGAGTGAGTGAGGGTCTGTAGGGTTAGGGTCCGTAGAGTGAAAGTTTTCAGTGCTGGGGGCTTGTAGGGTTAGGGTATGTAGGATTATGGTATGTAAGGTCAGATTTTTCAGCGTTCGGGTCTTTAGGGTCCGAGTTTCCAGGGTTAGGATCTGTGGGGTTAGTAGGGTCCGTGGGGTTCGGGTGTGTAGGGTTAGGTGTGTAGGGTTATTTTCTTTAGGGTTACTGTCTGTAGGGTTGGGGACTGTAGGGTCTGTCAGAAGGGTTAGGATATGTAGGGTTAGGGTCAGTAGTGTCTGTAGTGTCTGTAGTGTCAGTAGGTTTGAGTATGTGGGGCTAGTTGTGTCTGTAACGTTAGAGTTTGTAGGGTTAGGGTATGTAGGGTTCGGGTCTGTAGGGCTAGAGTCTGTAGGGTTAGGGTATTTAGGCTTAGCAGGGTCTGTAGGGCTAGTGTACTGGAAAGCGCAGGAAGGAAGAAATTGGAGGTGCACAGAGGAGAGAGAGGACATTTACGCAGAAGCATGTTTGCGAACGTTCTTGGAGCGTGTGTGTCCTTGAGTATCCGCTGTGAACGTTCGGAGAGCTCGCGTACAGTACATTTGATCGTGACGATGCTGTACGTTTTTGTGCAACCCGTTTCTTTTTGTGTTTCTCGTTCATGTCATGTAAGGTTTTCGGGATGTGCTCCTGAACTACCATGGGGCCCACATAGTTCGAGGGTCGAGGATCGACGATGCCAGCGCGGCACGGTGCGCACGAGACGTCCGCGGACCGACTGCGCGATATCGCGAAGACGAGCCGCGCGGCTCCCGCGCGGCCAGGCGCCCCAGCGCCCCCGCCTGAGCAGCCGCAGCCGCCGTAGGCCTGGGCGGGGGCGCCGGCCGGCCGCCGCGGCCGCGATCCGACGACGACGACGACGATTTTCTCCTCCTCCTTCTCCACCTCCTCCTCCACTTCCTCCTCCTCCTCCTCTTCCTCCTCCTCCTTCTAAGGCTAAGACGAGGCCAGGACGAGGATAAGATCGGGTGAGGGTAGCTCGACGAACTCTGAGATCTGGCGGCTCTGGATGATGTCTCGGGCGCCGCGGCCTTCCCAGAGCTTTCCAGGGCACTATGAGAGCGTCCTGGAACGCTCTGGAAAGGAGACGGGGACGGCGACCCTGAGATCTTGGTGATTCAATTTTTTCGAGCCAGGCGTTTTCGCATACTTTCGGGCCCCGGGGCCCTCACTGATCGATCCGTCTGGAAAAAACGGCTGGGGCTCCGGGCGCGATTTTTCACGCTGTTGCAATTCTTTCGCCACGTCGGGTCTTAGGGTTTGGGCGGCGGCGGGAGGAGAGGCGGGGACGGCGACAGCGACGGCTCTGGCGCAGGCACCGGCGCCTGCGCTGGCGCTGGCAATGGCGCCCGCGATGGCGCCAGAGGCGGCTGCTACATCTGCGACGGCGGCGGTGACGGCGGCAGCGGCGGCGACGGCGGCGCGAACGTTAACGGCGGCAAAGGGGCGAAAGGGCCCTTGGCTGACCACTCCACATCGTCCCAGAGGGGGAGTCGTGCGGCCGCGCTGGGGAGCTGGGGAGGGATCGATGTCCAGGGTCATCCTTTTCCGTCAGCATTTGAGTTGGACCGTGGCGTGACATAGTTTGAACAACTTCTTCGGAAGTCCGCGCAGGTTTCTTGGATTGGCGTTGCGTCTTCGTCGCCGTCCCTGTGGGGCAGCAGAGCAGTACCAGGAGAAGTTTGAGCAGCTAATGGTAGATATTTGACCATCTGACATAGAACGAGTTCAATCAAAAACAATTGCTGTGTCCAGCGGTGGGGGGACAGAAAAATATCGGCACGTGGCAGCGCCGCGCGGCGTAATGACGCAGCTTGAGGAAACCCAGCGCGTGACAGTGCCGAGGCGAGAGTCTACGACATTCGTTGTTTATCATAAGAATGTCCGGGGCTTGGTCTCCGCTGGGCGTTTGCAAGAGTTGGTTTGCGAGCTGGATCATGCACGGTGGGATGTTGTGACGTTCGACGAGACATGGCGCTCAGAGAAACAAGAACTATACACAGTTTTCGGCGGACACATCTTAGCTGGGAGTGGACATGCCAACCCAGATCGTGGACTTGCGAATCTTATTCACCGGAAGTGGGCGGAATCGATGAAGAAAGTTGCGGTCATCAGCGAACGCCTCATGTATGTGGACTTGCTCTTGGGAGGCCAGTGGGTCAGGATAGTTCCTGCAAGTTGGCCCAATGCGAAATATGCGGGTATCCGCGTGCAGGAGATGTGCACCGCATTATCTGAGATCAAGAGGGATGCTAAGCAAAATCAGTACACATTCGTTCTAGCTGGAGGTTTCAACGCGGAGGTCGGCTGCCGGCTCGAGTCAGATAACCCCAAAAGTGTTGGATTATATAGGCTTCGATGCGAAAACTCGCGAGGGCAATGGTTGAAACAATTGGCTTTCGTCGAGCAGCTGCTTATCTGCAACACGTTCTTTCCCTAAATTACCGAGCGGGCGGGCAACGCACACGGGATCGAAGACACAGCAACGGCAGATTGATTCCATTCTTGCGGATCGGTCGTCGTGGAAGTGTGCGAGACATTGCGGCGCCGTACTGGATCTTGATATGAATTTGGATCACCGTGCTGTGAAGGTTGTGCTCAATTTCCCCGGGTATCCGTCGGGACTCCCAAACAGCGAACACCGGGCCGCTGGAACGAGTAAACGCGGGGTTCGTAGGAAAACCCTCGATGAATACGAAAAAACTGCTGCTGCACAGGCTCGTTTGCTGGAGACCGCCATGGTTGATGCAGCTGTCAGCATTGCGACCCCGACCACAAAGCAGGCCAGCGTGGAATTGAAAAACCTCCGCAATTCGATTTCAGAGCTGATCGTGAAAAGACGGACGCTACATGCTGGCAGTGGTGCCGACAGAGCCGGAATCAGCAAGGCGATCCAGAAGTTACCGAAGAAAGAGAAGAAAATGCAGGCCACCGAGCGCATTGCGACCATTCTGGACACGTTCACCGGTCTCGACAATATCCCGAAATTGAAGTCGCCGGTCAAGAAACGGTTGACCCCAAGCATGCTGGATGGAAACACGGCCGTGACTTCGCGCGTGGAGATGGTAGTGTATTTGTGGTTTTCTACGAAGAGTTATACGCGAGCAAATGGACAGTAGAGCCGGCGCCGGAGCCTGAATCCAAAAGGACATTGCCAGATATTGAAGACTTCACGATCGATGAGGCCCATGAGGCTATCAAGGAGTTGAAGAACAACCGTTGTCCAGACACCCAAGGACTAATTAGCTGAAAGCTCTCTCATGGCGGGGGCGTTCTTCTGCAATCGTTGGCCAAATTGTACAGTGACGCTCGAAAGCCTGATGCAGAACCTCCACAGTCTTGGAAGCAGGCGGCGATTACAGTAGTCTTGAACTCTGGGGACGAGCGCCTTCCGACTAGTTCTCGGCCCATAGTTATCATGCCCATATTTACCAGCTTTTCTCGCGCTTCTTATACACACGGCTAGTCATAATTCTGGAGCCTCAACAGAGCGTGGACCAAGCCGGCTCCAGACGCGGCTTTTCCACGGAAGACCATTTGCATGTTGTAGAGCAGATTCAGGAAACAGCCGGAGAGCACCAGATTCCCATCTGGTTCGCTGCCATCGGCGCCCTCAAGGTCGTTGGTTCTGTTGAACACCCAGGAGTTTGGAATGCTCTCGCCAGGCACGGAGTACCGACTGCATATATATATATATATATATATATATATATATATAGATACACATATATATATATATATATAAATCGGAGTAGGGCCCCGGGGCGGTGCCTGTCATCTCCATGGGGTGTGCAGGGCGCCCCCGGGAGCGTCCGAAGCGTCCCTGAGGGCCGCTGGGGCCGCCAGGAACAGTTCGAGACCGCCCAAGACGGCCCGCGAGCGCTCCAGACGCGCATACATAGCCTCAGGAATGGCCAGGAAGGCCCGAAGACGTACCAAGAGAGCTCCATGAGGCCCCGAAGGCATCCCAAGAGGCCTCCCAAGAGAGCCGCGACAAGCCAAAATCGTTGATTTGTATTGTTTTTGTTTCGAGGTTTTGGGCCTTCTCGCTTTTTCTGAGTTCCGACGTTCCAAGACCGTCCAAGAGTCTCCCAAAACTATTTTAAGACGGCCAAAGAGGCCCCCAAGACCGCCCCAAGACGGCCCAAGAGACCCCCAAAATCGTCCGAAGACGGCCCAGGAGAGCCCCAAGATGGCCCAGGAGCCGCCCATGACGGTTCCAGGAGAGCCCCGGCAGGGCTTCAAGACTGCCTAAGCGGGCCCCAAGAGGGCCCCGCGAGGCCCCAAGAGGCCCCAAAGAGGCCCCCAAGAGGCTCCCTGGAGGCCCCCAGAGGCCCCCAAGATGCCCAAAAATGGCCCTGAGCGCGCCCCAAGACGCGTCCAGGAAAGCCCAACAGGCCTCCGAAAGGCCCCCAAGAGGCCCACTGGAGGGCCTCAGGACGTCGTCCCCATCATGTTCCCGGAAGGCGGTCCAGGAACATGATTCCGCGCCTTGGAGGGGTATTCTGCGCTTTCCGAGGCGCTTCCGAGGCGCGTTGGACGACGTACGTATGTTTCTATAGAGTGTCCTTCTCCTGTGCTCACAATCATACATGTCTTACGTATGATTCTATACATATATATATATATATATACATATATATATAGATATATGTATGTATATATATATACTCATATGTATATATATATATATACATATACATATATATAGCCCTTTGGAGGCCCTCAGGAGGTCGTCCCCGCCATGTTCCCAGGAGACGGTCCGGGAACATGATTCCGCGCCTTGGAGGAGTATGCTGCGTTTTCCGAGGCGCCTCCCGAGGCCCCTTGGACGACGTACGTATGTTTCTATAGATTGTTCACCTCCTGTGTACACAATCCTACATGTCTTACGTATGTTTTTTTCTCTCTCTCTCTCTCTCTCTCTCTCTCTCTCTCTCTCTCTCTTTCTCTCTCTCTATATATATATATACACGTATGTGTATATATATATATATATACACACCCCTCCCCCAAACCCTCCCGAGTCGTGCCACTTCCTTCCACGTATTCCAATTTCTTCCGTGCATATATATATATATATATATATATATATGTATGTATGTGTATATATATATGTATATATATTTGTATTTGTATTTGTATATATATATATACACATATACATTTACATATGCATATACATATACATATATAGAGAGAGAGAGAGAGAGAGAGGCCGTCCAAGAGTCTCCCAAAACCGTTCCAAGATGGCCGAAGAGGCCCCCAAGACCGCCCCAAGACGGCCCAAGAGACCCCCAAAATCGTCCCAAGACGGCCCAGGAGAGCCCCAAGATGGCCCAGGAACCGCCCAAAACGGTTCCAGGAGAGCCCCGACAGGGCTTCAAAACTGCCTAAGCGAGCCCAGCGGGCCCCAAGAGGCCCCGCGAGGCTCCAAGAGGCCCCAAGAGGCCCCCAAGAGCCTCCCTGGAGGCCCCCGAGAGGCCCCCAAGATGCCCAAAAATTTCCCTGAGCGCGCCCCAAGACGTTTCCGGGAGAGCCCCACAGGCCTCCGAGAGGCCCCCAAGAGGCCCACTGGAGGGCCTCAGGAGGTCGTCCCCATCATGTTCCCGGAAGGCGGTCCAGGGACATGATTCCGCGCCTTGGAGGGGTATTCTGCGCCTTCCAAGGCGCCTTCCGAGGCGCCTTGGACGACGTACGTGTGTTTCTATAGCTTGTCCTTCTCCTGTTTACACAATCGTACATGTCTTACGTATGCTTCTATAGATGTATGTATGTATGCATGCATGCATGCATGCATGCATGCATGCATGCATGTATGTATGTATGTATGTATGTATGTATGTATGTATGTATGTATGTATGTATGTATGTATATATACACATCGGAGTCGGGCCCGGGTGCGGCCCAGGGCGGTGCCTGTAATCTCCATGGGGGGTGCAGGGCGCTCCCGGGAGCGTCCGAAGCGTCCCGGAGGGCCCCTGGGACCGCCAGGGGCAGATCGAGACCGCCGACAACGGCCCGCGAGCGCTCCAAGACGCGTATAGATAGCCTCAGGAATGGCCAGGAAGCCCCGAAGACGTTCCAAGAGAGCTCCATGAGGCCCCGAAGGCATCCCAAGAGGCCTCCCAAGAGAGCCGCGACAAGCCAAAATCGTTGATTTGTATTGTTTTTTTCGAGGCTTTGTGCCTTCTCGCTTTTCCGGGTTCCGACGCTCCAAGACCGTCCAAGAGTCTCCCAAAACCGCTCCAAGACGGCCGAAAAGGCCCCCAAGACCGCCCCAAGACGGCCCAAGAGACCCCCTAAATCATCCCAAGACGGCCCAGGAGAGCCCCAAGATGGCCCAGGAGCCGCCCAAGACAGTTCCAGGAGAGCCCCGACAGGGCTTCAAGACTGCCTAAGCGAGCCCAGCGGTCCCCAAGAGGGCCCCGCGAGGCCCCAAGAGGCCCCAAACAGGCCCCCAAGAGCCTCCCTGGAGGCCCCCAAGAGGCCCCCGAGATGTCCAAAAATGGCCCTGAACGCCTCCAGGAGAGCCCCACAGGCCCCCGAGAGGCCCCCAAGATGCCCAAACATTTCCCTGAGCGCGCCCCAAGACGTTTCCAGGAGAGCCCCACAGGCCTCCGAGAGGCCCCCAAGAGGCCCACTGGAGGCCCTCAGGAGGTCGTCCCCGTCATGTTCCCGGAAGGCGGTCCGGGAACATGATTCCGCGCCTTGGAGGAGTATTCTGCGCCTTCCGAGGCGCCTTGGACGAAGTACGATTCATATTCTTGAACGCTTTCCGGGAACATGATTTCTCACCATTCGGAACGCTTTCCTACTGCTGCGGTGCTCTGGGGGGAAGGGACGGGGGTCCGGGAACATGATCGGGAGGTTAGGGAACGAGGGTTTGGAGAGGAGCAGTAGGACAGACGGACGGGGCCCGGGGGCGGGGGTGGGGTGGTGCCACCGGTTGGCATGGCCGCCCCGGGCGTCCTGTGGGGTCCACGAACCCGCCCAAGACGGCCCATGAGGCCCCAAAGACAGCCCAAGAGACCCACAAGACAGCCTCAGCGAGGCCCCAGAGGGCCCCAAGACGCTCAAGAGCGCCCCAACAGCGCCCGAGATGGCTTGAAGATGGCCGAAGAGGGCCCCAAGAGGGTCTTCAAGAGGCAAACACCGGCCCATCCCCATTCGTAAAGCATGCGTTTTCAGCATACTCGTTTGCTTGGTCCTTGCAGTGCCCCAGACGCCCCCGAGCCCCAAGACAGCCCAAGAGAGACCCAAGAGGGCCCACGACGGCCCAAACGGGTCGTCCTGTGAGGCTCACGGAACCCCCCAAAGACGGCCCAAGAGGCCCCAAAGCCGGCCCAGGAGGCCCCCAAGACGGCCTCAGGAAGGCCCAAGAGGGCCTCGTTCGAAATCATGTTCCCAGAAGCCTCTCCGGGAACATGATTTCCAGGTTTCTAGGACGCCCAAGAGGGCCCCAGGACGGCCCCAAAAGGGCCCTAAAAGGACCTTCAAAAAGGCCCGGATGGCCACAGTTCGTTGATTTGCGTGAGATGTTGTTGGATTTCTTCCGCGCGGAGGAGACGGAGAGGGCGAGGAGGAGGAGGAGGAGGAGGAGGAAGAGGAGAAGGAGGAGGAGGCAGGGAGGAGGAGTGGAGGGGAGGAGGGGGGGAGAGAGGAGGAGGCTCGAGGGCGATCGACGATCGGCGACGACGACCGGCGACGGTGATTGACGACGACGACGACGACGACGACGACGACGACGACGACGATCGACGACGGTCGACGACCGACGACGACGACGATCGACGACGATGACAATAGTCGACGGCGCCGATCGACGATCGACGGCGACGACGACGGCCACGCCGACGGCGGCGACGCTGCCCGCGTGACAGCCCAAGAGGCACACAAGACAGCCTCATCGAGGCCCCAGAGGGCCCCAAGACGTCCAAGAGCGCCTCAAGAGGGCCCGAGATGGCTTGAAGATGGCCGAAGAGGGCCCCAAGAGGGCCTTCAAGAGGCAAAACTTTACCCATTCCTAGTGTAAAACGTACAATTTCAGCATACTCGCTTGCT